GAAATGAAAAATAAATAAATTTTTTTAAAAAGTCTTCAATTACTTTACCTAAAATAGGCTCAAGTGTAAAATGTTCTTTGATTTACATTGTGAGGCTTCTTACCTTTTCATTGGCTTCGGGGAGCATTCTCTCTCCAGATTGCAGGCCGCATGTTTCACATACATTGCATTATAGGAAGTGTGAGTGTAGTCATTTTCATCGCTGTAGTCAGGACCCAACAACGTACGAGCCCACGTCCCCATGTCGTAGGGAGGAAGAGTGCCTCCAAATTCAGAGGGTAAAAATTCAGGGTGGATTAACTGGTGGAGGCTGTTTAAATTGTTTCCATGCAAGAAAATCTGCAAAGAAAAACCGGTGATTAAAAAAAATAAAAAACACATAACCTAGTACTTAATCGACTATACAATTTAGCAGTGACAAACTGGATGCACTGCTGGTGATCATGGTGTGGCATTCACTTTAGTGTCTGTAATGACATCTTCATAATAAGTTAATTTCTAAGCTATTGCTTAGAAAAGGGGTTGAATTAGTAGACCTTAAAAATAAGTTTATTAACAAATTGCTTATTATTTGGCCATAGCCCAGATGTATACGTGAAGTCATCTCCTAATTATCTCTGCTTAATGAAAGGAGCAGTGATGTGGATCATGCACAACACCCATCTTGCTTGTGGTGAGTTTTCAGCCAGTCTCAGTTCTCCCACCTCTAGAGATTTTTGACCTGCTGCATCTCCTGAGTCCTCACATGCTTCTCAGGTCTCCACTTAGCTGCAGCTTCTTGAATCTGTGCTATTTGTGCTGTCTTTGAACTCTTTTTATCTGCTGCTTTCTGGCTTTCATGGCTTATTCTTGTTTAATCTGCTTCCCTTCTGGGACAGCAGAACTCTGCTTCTCAGCTTCAGGGCTGATATAGGCTCAATAAAAAAAGCTTGATAAATTCTTGCTCAGTGGAATGGAAAAGGTTTGACTTAAAACTTGAAAGCTGGCAGCTCTGACCCACGACCCCCATCTTCAGGTATC